AGAACAGATCTGGAGTGTGGAGACACTTGGCAAAGGTCTGCACAGAACCCTTATCATGTGATGTGAGGGGTTCATGCCCTAATCCTCCAGTGATCCTTTGATCAGGATTTGCACTAAAACAGTTGGGATTCACAGAGTCACAGAATCATGGAATGCTCTGGTTGGAAAGGACCTTCAAAACCATCTCATTCCAACGCCCTGCCATGGGCAGGGACACCTTCCCCTGGGATTATCCTTGTGCCCGTGGCTGCCTGAGCACAGCTGCTGTTCTGAAGGAGCTGGGCAGGACTCCAGATAGCTCAGAGGCAGAAATGGACCCTGAAATTCCCATTTCTCTGTGCACAGGTGGAATCGTGGACTCTCCACAGGAGCCTGGCACTGTGCAAAGTGCTGCTGTGCTGCAGATCTCCCCCCAGCACACATCCTGCTGTGCACCCTTTACCTTCAGAGGTGTCAGAGGAGTCCTTCTGCTCAGAAATGCTGCTCTTGGGGCTGTTTGCTGAGGGGGCAGGTGGCTGCTGCTCGGGCTCCTCCTCCTCCTCCGAGTCCACGCTCCCGTCGTGGTCTCCGTTCTCCAGGTCGCTCTTGGACGAGCCCTCCGAGGTCTGGGACGCTCCAAACCTGCCCCACAGAGCCCAGGTGAGCAGGACTCCAGCCCCCCCAGCCCTCAGCTGCCCTCTCCCTGCTCCAGGGGGACAACCAGGGGCTGCCCAGTGCCTTTGCCAGGGTTATTTCCCCCCGAATGCACAGCCAGGCAGGAATCTGGGAGATCCCTCCAGTGACAGCCCCGAGGGCTCTGCCAGTCCAAACTCATCTGCAGAGGCAGGAATGTGCTGCAGTGACAGACCCAGGGCTGGAGCCTGGTGGGACCACACAAACCAGTGGCAAAGAGGAGGATACTGATGTGGAATGGACCCTGTGTGTGAGCAGGACCATCGGGGTGCTGGTGCTTGGCAAGGAAACATTGAGCTCTTGGTGGTTTTTCCCATCCCCCTTGATCATATTTCCAGATACAGAATTAGAGAAGTGACTTTATTCAATAACTGGCTCCATCAAAGGGATGAAGAAGGATTTGCAGAGCTGGAGATGCCCCTGGGAGGTCCCTTGTTCCCATGAAAAACATCACCTTTTTTTCTTAATATTCTGAAAAAGTTCTGTCTGCTCCCCTCAGTTTTAACTCCTCCTTCCCAGAGATGAAGGAGTAAGTTCTAAGTATTTCACATTAAGGGTAGGGATTTCTTAATATCTTTGATTTTACACCATGACAGACTCAGTCCCCGGGTTTTTCCATTGTTACTGAATTCCCTTACACTGGATCTCTGTTGCACATCCAAGACAGGCCCCCAGCACACGTGGCACGGGGAGTCCTCGGGGCTGCCAGACAAAAACCTCAGGGCCCCTCAATAACACAAACACCAAACACCTAAGCACGGCCTTGGCTGAAATGTGCAGCTTCCCAGCATTCAGGGGGAGAAATGAGTGCTTTGTGTTCACCTTACCGTGTTCTTGATTTGACCTGGGTTGCATAGGTGATCTCCTTCTCCTCCCAGATGTCCTCCTCCTCCTCGTTGTCGTCGAACTGCTGGATCCGCTCGTTGCAGCAGGCTTCGAACAGGGAGGCATTGGGCTGAGGGACAGGGGGGAGAAACCAAATCCCAGTCATTCCTTGGGAAAGACTGAGGAAACCAAAGTCTGAGAACTGGCCCAACCAAGCTTTGCTCAGGAGCTGAGTGTGGGATCCCCTGGGGGGAATCACCACTGTCCAGCTGCTGCTTTGCTTTGGGGCAATTCAACAGGAAAGACCAGACACAGCCTGGCAATATTTAGATCCATAAGAAATCCAGCCCTCTCCATGCTTCCCTAATCTGTGTCTGGAAAGATTATCAAAGGCTGGGAGAATTGGGATTGTTCCCCTGGAGAAGAGAAGGCTCCAGGGAGACCTTGGAGCCCCTGGCAGGGCCTAAAGGGGCTCCAGGAGAGCTGGAGAGGGACTGGGGACAAGGGATGGAGGGACAGGACACAGGGAATGGCTTCCCAGTGCCAGAGGGCAGGGTTAGATGGGATATTGGGAAGGAATTGCTGACTGGGAGGGTGGGCAGGCCCTGGCCCAGGTTGCCCAGAGAAGCTGTGGCTGCCCCTGGATCCCTGGAAGTGTCCAAGGTCAGGTTGGATGGGGCTTGGAGCAACCTGGGCTAGTGGAAGGTGTCCCTGCCCATGGCAGGGGAGGCACTGGACAGGCTTTAAGGTCCATTCCAACCCAAACCATTCCATGATTCTGTGCTTCTAAGGACAACAGACTGACACTGCAGAGAGGGAGAAAAATTCCTTAAATGCCAGGAGTGCAATTTCTGAGGAAATATTTCTGGGGGAGATGCTCCGGGGTATCTGCAGTGCCCCCAGTTCCTTAACTGGACTCAGTGAGCAGGTGGACACCTCTGCACTGACCAAAAACCCCACCAAATGTCTGTTCTTTCCAAATGAAAGCAGGTTAAACCAACCCCTGACCCCACTCACGCTGTCGTCATCGGCGTCGATGTTGAAGTTGATCTCCGCGATCCGGTCGAAGGGAGCGCTGCCCAGAGGAGGGAGAGAGCCTTCAGGGATGGCACAGAGGAACCTGGGCATCCCCAGCACCACCCAGCCCCAGAGCCCCCCAGGGGTCTGTTCCCTGAGCAGCCACTCCTGTATCTGTGCCATGGTCTCCTCTCCTTGAGACGAAGGGTTAGTTCAGCCCGGAACATTCCCTGTCCATGGCAGGGGGTGGAACTGGAGGGGCTGATCCCTCCCAACCCAACCCACTCCAGGATTCCACAGGTCAGATTTCCCCTCCTGGGGCTGATTCAATCCCCGAGGGAGCAGCCTTTGCCATGAGCTCCCTGCTGTGGGGTTTTGGGGCTCTTGGCAGCCCCAGCAGGGCCGGGCTGTTCTGAACTCTCGTGGGGAACACCACGGCCGGCTCTGCTTTTCCCAGATCCCTCCAGCTGATCCCAATCCCACTGGAAAAATTTAAATAAACTCATCATTAATGAAAAAGAGAAGGAGCTGCAGCCAGCTGCTCTGGAATTCCAGTCCTATGCTCACCCAGGAATTCCAGGGGGCTGCATGAGACAGAGATGGCACTGATGGCACTGGGGAGGCCCCCCTGGAATCCCGGGGGCAGTTCTGGGCCCTCAGCCAGGAGAGACCTGGAGGGGCTGGAGCATGTGCAGGGAAGGGAAGGGAGCTGGGAAGGGTCTGGAGCAGCAGGAGGGGCTGAGGGAGCTGGGGGGGCTCATCCTGGAGCAAAGGAGGCTCAGGGGGGACCTTCTGATCTGGGAGGGCTTTTCCAACCCCTGTGATTCTGGAATTCTGTGAATCTCAGTGTGTGAGTGGCTCACACCCCTGGTGTGTCACTGTGCTGCAAAAACCCTAAACTGCCCCAGTTTCCTGTGTGGCCCCAGAGGAGCCTGCTGGGAGAACAGCAGAGGGAGCTGCAGCCCAAAAACTCCACACTCCCAGACAGCTGAGGCCAGGCACAGTTTATCCACCCTGTTCATGCAGCTCTACCTTTGGACAGTGGCATTTTCTTTAAGGACTGTTCAGTTTAAAATACAATCCTGCAAATCCCCAGGACACTGAAACATTATTAATATTTGTTAACTACTCCAATTCACATCTCCCACAGTGTCCAACTGCTGGCAGGGAGCACCACTCTCACAGTATTCCGTGTTTTGTAGTACATTCTCCTTTTCCAACCACAAATAAAGTGATAAAATCCCAGTCACAGACTTTTTTCAGCCTGGTGTTCATTTTACAATGGTCACGAGGCATTTCTGGCAGCTCCTCACGGAATTTAACTCCTCCCCTCACCTACACACACACACAGGGTCACATTTGCTGCTGACACAAGTGAAAAATCTGTTTATTTTTTTCAGTGTGTAGAACGAAGTAATCTCTGTTCAATTAAACTCTGATTCAGCCTGGAACTTTCTGGCCTTATTAAAGTTCTGACACCTACAAGGCTCAGGAAGAACCCTGGAGGAAGGACAGAGGTGTTGCCACACTTCACTGTCACCCTGGATCCCAAAGAATTCCTGTGATGGAGACAAACCCTCCAGCAGCTGAAGTGAAGGGGCAAAGCTGAGGAGCAGAACATTGGGATCCCCTGGAGCACTTCTGTGCCCAGAACTAAATGGTTCCAATTTCAGAACCATTATGGCCAAGTGGGATAATCACAGTCCCAGGTACATCTTTAAGGAGAGAAGATGAGCTGCAGTTTTAATGGGATTAAAGTAATTCTATAAAAGCAGCAAATTCTGAGCTCTGAACTCAGCAAGTTGTGTAACATCAAATCCCCCTCTCCTGCCTCCTCTGAGCTGTCCTCGCTCCTCCTTATCTCTGTTCCCTTTCTCAGAAGGGAGAAAATGGCTCATTTTTCCGTGGACTCCATCGAACCACGATTCTTCCATTCCTAATTTCAATAAGGATTTAATTCCTTGGACAATATGTGTTTAATTGCCCAGAACTCGCTCTAATGCTTTGCTTTCTCTGCAATTAAACTTCTCCTAGAGCAGGGCTAGTTAATAATTGCCTGTTTTATTTAAAACATTCCTCTCTAAAATGAAGAAGTACTTTTCCTTGGTTCTCCAATTGCCTTTGGAGATCAGGGCTGGGCTCCCACAAAAACAGCTCCGTGTTTTCCCAGCCACTGATCCCTCCCCTGCTCCCTTCAAAGCCCAGGAGGGAGGAGGAGGTCCATTTTAAACCCTGAACCAGAGTGAAGGTGAGATGCAAAGAGGCTGAAAGGCTCAGAACCACAGACTCACTTGATGTTGTCGTCCTGGTCTGCAAACTCCTCGTCGTTGAAGCCGAACTGATCCACGAAGTTGGCTGTCATCTGCTGGATCTGGTACTCGGAGAAGGCCTGGACAGGGACCCAAACCAGCATCACCAGGGGGTCCCGAGACATCCCAGGACACTGCCCTGAGCTGGGGAAAAACCTGCCCTACCAAAGCATCAGCAGCACCAAAAAGGGACAGACCCTTCCCAAAGCAGGCTCACACACACTGCTGGGAGCCTGGGCTGACAACTCTCCCATCTGCTCCCAGCTCCTCCCAAAGAGAGGCAGGAATTTCCAGAGGGAACCACTTGTTGGCTTCATTGGGTTGTTTTCCCCCAGTGGTGCAAGGGAAACCCACCACAGACATCCAGAGGGTACTTCTGGCTTCCTCCTAAGGCAAACCAGAGCAGCAAGTTTCTCAGGAACAGGGAAGGGTGTGTTGTCCACTCACCTGCTGGAGAGTAAGTTCATTGGGAAAAGCACTTTCGATGTCCTCATCCTCACTGGAGGAGTGCAGGTGGTGGGTGCTCACCTGGGGGAAGGACCAAGGAATGAGCACAAGGGAAGGCTGAGAAAGCTCCAATATTTTAGTTCCACCCCCCAAAGATCAAACTCCTGCCAGGCAGAAACTGGCCCAAGGGATAACATGGATTGGAGTTATAACATGGATTGGAGTTCACCAACATGGATCAGCTGCTGCTTGGACAACTGTTATGAAACACATTTTCTACACTCTGCCCTTGAAATTCTTCAGAAAAACCAGCACAATGAGAATAAACCCCAGGAATACCCCTTTTTGTATTGAAAGGAGGTCCAGGAGTCCCCGGGCCCGGGCTCTCTGTGCTCACCAAATCCACCGTGTTCCTCCGGTTCGTCTCCGTCAGTGTCTCCTCCACGAAGCTCTCCCACCTCCCCCGGCAGTCCTCGGGCAGCTCTGCAAGGACAAGGGCACCCCAAGGATCAGCTCTGAGGGCAGCTGGCCCAGGGGCACCCTGGAGCCCTGCAGGGTGTGAGGGCTCTGTGAGGGAGACACTTCACTCGTGGTTTTCCAACCCCAGCAAAACCTGCCGAGGAAGGCTCAGCTCCCGGGAGGCCAAACCGTCAGATGTGACTGGTGTGAACAACCTGAACTCCTCTGGAGCTACGGGGGCTAAAGATACACAACTTCTACTCCACCTTTGTGCAAACAGCCAGAAGTGTGGCTGAAGTTCTGCTTTTCAATCCTTGTGTCTCTCTTTCAGGTGTAATAATTCTGTTATGGAATGGTTTGGGTTGGAGGGACTTTAAAGCCCATCCAGCGCCATCCCTGCCATGGGCAGGGACACCTTCCACCAGCCCAGGTTGCTCCAAGCCCCGTCCAACCTG